AATTAATACAAATCAGAATAAACACAAAATGCTGGGTCAACGACCCAGGACCATGACAATTATGGTCACACGGACACATTGCTATTGTTGTTTTATTACTTACTTAATCAATATATAATATTTAACCTTTTTGTGTGGCATCTAAAACCCATAGACTTTTCACTGTGAAGAGATGACATGACATTTTATAACATATTTTTTAAATTAACAGCACAGTATGTTGAAATGAAAAGACCCAGAAACAGGTAAAAAAAAAGAAAAAGAAAATCATTTAAGCCAGGAGGAGTCTGCTGGTCTTTGCTGGATCGTTGTCTACCACGATTGCTGGATCGTGGTAGACAACAATCAGTGAGACTCAAGCTACAGCTCAAGCTAAGTCAAGTGTCTATTGTGAAAGTTGTAACTCATTCTCGTTTCCTTGCCTACAGACCTCCTGGATAACCTTCCCTGTGTGAATCTTTGTGTCAAGTGTGGAGAAAGGAACTGCGGTCGTGAGTGTGGAGAGTTGGAGAACGAGAGATTCCCCCCTTTGGATTTCCCTGGAGCCCCGTCCCCCACATTGTTGTATATAGCACTGCCCTGCACTTCCTTTATATACACCTGGTGAACTCTGTAAATAAATTCTTGTGTTCAGCTGATTCTGGAGTCCTGCGCTTGAGTCCCCCACGTTGAACTGTAACAGACCTGAAGAAAAATGCTAACTCTGGATATCATTAATATTAGAGGAAAACTGAAAAACTATCAATTAAAAATTGTCCATCCATCCATTCTATTACATCCATGGATAGTACACTGCTGCAGTGTAATTTGACATTGGATCATTGTTAGCAGTAGATAGCTAAAAAATACATTTATTAAGTGATTAAACCTATAACAGAATTAAATTCAGGAAGGATGAATGGGATGGAAGTATCTGCTGAATCAGTAAGCAAATGCTAAGCTGTTAGAGCATTAGATACTTTTAACTAAAACTAATGGATTCAGATAAACTAATTTGACCTTAGATCCTTAGATTAAGGGTGTATTCTGTGGTGCTTTTACCTCGATATTACATATTATCAGGGTTTTAGTGTAGAAAAAATACATAAACAAAAGCAAAAATATTTTGAGATACCAATATATTTAATAGCTTTGTTATTTATTTATTTATTGTGATTATACAGTTTGTACTATGACATTTTCTTTCAACTCTTTCAAAATCTTGTCAGGCGTTATCACTCAAAAGTTTAATACTCATAAAAGTATAGGCATAATATGTTATGTACACTCAAAAAAGTGAAATTGAATGGTTATTGCATTTACAAGTCTCTAACAAAATCCAAGGTTTCCAAGGTGAACTTAATTAAATCATATATGATCTGCATGAAATTTACCAACTTAGCACCTCTTAAATTTATTCTTGTTGATGTGACATGATAAAATCTAACGAGAGTGGTTAGTTGCCTTAAAGACTCGCGATATCACAAGATCACGGGTGATTTTAAGCACAGGAGGCAGGAAACCACACGGTTTTGTTAAGAAAGTGTTGGGGGCTTGTTGGGAAAGAGGGAAGGTTTTTAAAAATAGTTTTGGGTGGGTTGGAGATGATAGTGCAAGAACTTTTAAAGTGTCTGACAAAGTCTTTAATCAGACAGTGTTGTGGCCTTTACGTCCCATATGGACATTGAAGTGTCTTGTCGTGGACAGCTCTTTAACGGACACTGGAAAGCGGAAAGTGACCACAGATATTTGTCAAAAATTCTATAACAGATTGGACAGCAAATACAATGACTTTTTACAGGTGTATACAGATGGGTCAAAAGATCCTAAGACAGAAGCAACTGGTGTAGCAGTGGTAATTCCGGTGTTGAATATCAAGATTGCGAAAAGAACATCAACCCGTCTGGGTGTATACGGTATGCATTTGAATTGTTTGCCATACTGCTGGCTCTAGAATGGATGGAGGACAGCAGGGTCTCAAAAGTACTGATATGCAGTGATTCATTGTCCGCATTATTAAGTATTGCACAGGGTTACACAACTACCCATCAGCAAATTCTGTATGACATTCTTTTTGCTCATCATAGACTGTCTGACCAAAATAAACATGTAGTAATAATGTGGACTCCGGCTCATGTGGGTATCTTGGGTAATGAAAGCGCAGATAGGTTGGCCAAAGCAGCTGTTAAAAGAGTCGACATAGATGTACAGTTACCATTGTCAAAATCTGAAGGGAAAAGTGTAGTTTGGGCAGAAAGTCGGAACTTATGGCAAATGGCATGGGATAATGAAACAAAAGGGAGACATTTATATAGGGTGGAAAACACAATAGAAGCTAAGAGGAGTAGCGGATTGCAGAGACGTGAGGAGGTTGTTATCAGTCGAATACAAACCGGCCACTGCTTTTTAAATGGTACTCTTTTTCGGATAGGGAAACATCTGACTGGGTTGTGTGATGGGTGCACTGATATGGAGACGGTTGAGCATGTACTCCTTAGTTGTAGGAAGTATGTAAGTCACAGGAGGGTGATGTGGGGTGAAATGAGTGGTGGAAGGGAACTTACATTTGAACAAGTGGTTAATAAGTTAAGTCATGGTGGAGGGAAAGTGGTGGTTTTTCGTTTTTTGAGAAGTACTGGTCTCATCAAGAGGATCTGAGGATTCAGGAGTGACGGACGATTAACAGTCAGGAGATGGCAGTAATGCAACAGTTTTGGATGCAAGCTGCCGTTAAACTTGACTGAAGAAGAAGAAGAACCACATGGTTTGCTTCATGGTCACCTTGGAAAGGTAAGAGTGAATCTGTCTTCATCCATCCAGATGAAAATACTTTTTGCGCAAAGATATCATTAGTTTGTCTATTATTTTCAGGGATATTTATTCACATTTGTTTTTGGGTTTTTTTAAATCTGTCTGTTTATGCCATTCTAGCTAGCTAACACGTTAGTGCAACAATATAGCACAATGTCAAGCTAGCACAAGTATAAAAGCCTAATATGAAAGACATAGCTACTTCAAATGTAGGTATTGTTTATAACTTAACCTCTGCAAATAAGCTAGTTGGGCTCTACCACAGAAACTTTTGTGATACATATGCATTTTATTTATGGGTTGTTGAAATGTGTAAGTTTGTAAGTTGTAACTGTTGCACAGTAGTTTACTTAACAATTGATGTATGTTTTTAGTACACTGAGGAGGAAATTACAATTATTTATTTTAATTCTTGAAGCGAATGTTATGCTTTAATAATTTTACTTCTGAGAGAATTCCAGTTTAAATTTGGTTACATAATGTAAATAATTCATTTTGAAATTCTTCACTGCTGTTCAACATCGTAAAATGTTGAACTCACTGAAAAGGAAAGAGTCCAAATTACAGGAATTAACTCGTTTTTTTATGACAGGCAGTCTAATAAATCTAAAATGTTTTGAAAATTAATGTGGCATTATTTTATTTGAATCCATTTTAATGGACATAGCATGCCACACTTTTATCCGAATTGCTTTGTTGAAATCAGATTTACCCTTGTTGAAATGGTTAACGTTGTCTTAATTTCCTCTTTTAGGCTGTTGTGAAATGGCTGCAATGGTGAAACTCATTCTCGGAGAAAATGATTCCCGGAGATTGATCCTTCCAAATGGGATGCCAGTGTCTGTCAGTGAGCTAGTTCAGCAGATAAAGGGACAGTGTGGAGTTAATGGGGACTTCAGGCTTCACTTCATGGATGCAGAATTTGGGAATGAATTCACCAACTTGGAGTCAATGTCGGACATCCAGGACAAAAGTACCATCGAGGTCATCTTTAGCTCAGTTGCACCTGTCGAACCTGGTGAGGTACTCCTCCCTCTTTACTCATCTGCTGCCACTTCCCGCACTCTAGATGACTCCTCATCCCTTTCATCTCCTGGGAACTCATTTGATACAGACATATTGTCTTCTCCTGAATCTACGTCCTCAAGAGCCACTGCATGGCCCAATGTCTTCCCCATTCCCCAGTTCTCTTACAATACTCAACTACAGCTGGCCAGGGCCAATGCTGCTTTCAAAGAAACTGGAGCTTTGTTGAATCCTGATCATAAAATTAAGTCTGACAGGGAGTTTGATGAGGTAGCAGAAGCTCTTGTAACAACCTATCCATGTTTGAAAGAGCCTGGTTCAGTCACTGGATATGGCGGATGGAAAATAAGCTTGAAGTATAAACTTGCTAACTACCGAACAAAGCTTAGACAGCTTGGATGCCCTGAAGTTACTGTGAATTCTGTAAAACATAAACCTAATGGCAAATGTACTCCTGCATATGGCGTGAAGAAGCCAAAAAAAGCTGAAGTGAATTACTGCCCCACGTATCCAGCTGGTGAAACTGCAGAGACACTAGAAGAAATCAGAGAGTAGACCTCCTGTCAGAAGCTAAGAAAAAACACAATGACCACAGGGTGGCTGCAATGATGGAGAAGACCTTTGCTCTCAGAAGGCAAGAGGTAGTACTTGAAGCACTGATGATCGCTGATTTCAAAATGAGGTGGCCAGCTGTCTTCCAGTGCATCTATAATAAATATGTGCAAGTTTCAGTGCTTCGTTTAAACTGCATGATACTTATACTGACCCGGGGTCAGTGTAAAATACAATCCTAGCTGTGTGAACAAAGTCTGGCTCCTTTAATCCTGAATGACAAGCCGCAGGATGCAGGTTATTATTACTCTTTCCTGCTGGCACACCTGTCACACCTGAGAGTCAGCTAGAAACTTACAGTGACGTGGACATCATGCAAAGACTGCCAGACTCTGTAATACTGCAAATGATCAGTGACTCAGGTTAACACTAAACTTTAAACAGTCCCTCTGTGTCTCTCTGTGTGCTGAACATTTAGGATTTCATTCAGGCTGCATTGACTGTGGGACTTTTCTGTGTTAAAAGCAGGTTGAAGACAGCTCAGAAACATTTGAAGATTAAAATTCTCTACTCAGATGTATTTTTGTTTCTAATTTATGTTTGTTGTTGTTTAACACAGATTTCCGAAGAGCAAAGATGAGCACTGTTGCTCAATCCTTAATAGTTTAACCCAGGACTGGACTGGAAATCCAAAGTCCAGATTCTTCTTCCACAGAAGTTTCATTTGTCAGTGTTGGACTGCTGATCACCTGAAGAACTCATTTCATTCATTCTCCACATAATGTTGATTTACAGAAATGTTTCACAGGAACTGATTCCTCCCAAAGGGTGAACTAGTGTGTTTCCATAGACTATCTCTGTATGAATGTACTTCTTAAATGAAGGCAAGTGTTTGTCCTGTTTTGTTCAGTACGGGATATTAAGGGCAGGCGGTCATCACTGGGGGAAGACAAGAAGCAGACGTACTTCCAAGAGTGAGCTGCAGTGAGGACACAGCCTGGTCACTGAGGTCAGAGGTCAGAACCTGAAACAGTTTATTTTCTAGGTGTTATAAAAAAAATCTAAATATATTTTTAAAGAAACCTTTAAATTATATTTTACATCATAATCATAATTATGATTATGATTATAAATATCAGACATTTAAGTGGATTTTCTGTTACATGTATTGTTTTCGCCCTGCGATAAACTGGCAGCCTGTCCTGTCTTTGTCCGGTATGAGCTGGGTATGAGTTCAGTAAAGAAACCTTACAAAAGTTAACAATAAACCTGCATCCCTGTACGTTGTTGTCCACAGGATGAGAAAATCAAACTGGAACACTGTGGAACATGTTAATAAATGTTTGTGTTTATCCCTGTGTCTTTCACAGGAGGCGCTGGAAGGTTTCCCTAATAGTTCCTGGTGAATCAAAGCAGAACCATAAAGGTTGCTGGACTGCATGATGGCCTTACCCCTGAGCAGTCATCCTGTTAAAGGAGGAACCAGTTAGAAGCTGTTTTCAAAGTAGCTGAGCAGATTTCATCTCAAGTAAGCAATTAACTGTTTATTCATTTGTTCTGCCACTTAAAGGACATTTAAGGACGTCTTTTGATTGTCCAGTTGAATTAATTCTACTGGCTTTCATGGTCATTTGTGATTATGGACATATTTTTCATGCACATCAACCATTTAGTAAATTCTATCTATTTAGTAATATCTGTCAGCTATAAAATGTAATATAAATATAAAAAATATCTAAATATCTCCTGCCCTTTATATTTTAATGATGTAAGACCAGACGTCTGTTATCGTGTTACATTAGCATTCCTCACATATCAGTAAGATGCTGTACAGTACAATCCTACTGACAGCAGAGGGATAACGACGGCTGTAGGATGCAGACAAAGTGACTAAATCATCTTTTTTGTGGTTTATTGTCTTCAAACCAGCAGACAAAGCTGATGTCAGAAGATGTCGGAGAAGAACTTCAGGCCATGTACTGAAAAGGTATTTTTTTCTTGTTATCAAAAGACATTTGGAGTGACGGCTTCTACAACTGGTTGTGCTGAAGTAAAGCTTACAGTCTAAGAAACCACAGTGTTGATATTCAGCACAAAGAGAAAAGCTCACTTGTTTGAATTTATTTACAATCATAGTTTTATAAATTCTGACTGTAAACATCTTTTACAGCTTTGATATTGTTTGACACTAGATATCAGGTTTAATTTAAAGGTTTCTGTGTCCCAGTGAGCCATTTACACTGATCAGTGTCAGTTTAACTGTAACACATTCATTATTTAGTTCCAACATTTCTAAGAGAAATAACTGAATGTAAAAAATGGCAGTACTCAGGCCAGGTTTAATTGATAGAGATATATGCATGCATTATGAAATTTATGTATCCCAGATAATTGTTATTCATCTAGTCATGGCAGACCCAACCCTTCCTCCCAAGTTAACTGCAACCCAAAAAAACTAGTGGGGCTATTTACACACTCACAAGCAGTGTGGGGTAAAAAGAGCCACCAAAAAGCTGTCAGCCTGCACAGCTACAGATGTGCTAAAAGCTATAAGAGTTAAAAGCTCTGCTTATGGAGAAACTTTCTAAGCCTAACAGGGGACAGGTACTCCTGCCCAAATAACATGATATAACCCCACATACAGCCCAGCCATAAAGTGAACCAAGTCATTTAGTTAAAGACAGCATGGGACCAAATGCATGTAACCAGCCTGCACCAACCTGACATTTCTTCCTCCTGAATTAAATGAATGAATGGATGTAAGTTAAATGACTACAAACCTAAAGCCACTAGTTCCCACACTGGAGCTCCCTGACACTGTGTGTTAATTGTACTGAGCTTGTGTCAACACTTGTAACAGGCTAAGCCACCTGAGACACTGCATTGAATGATTGTTTCTGTTTTAATGATTTCAGCTGGCTGGTTTCAGCTCAGATGTTCTGCTTTTTCCTTTCAGTAGATCAAAGCAGCTCGTGCTCCTTCTGCTTCCATTTTAATGGCAAGAAGAAGAAGAAGAATGCTTCAGCAAAGTGGCGTTCATGGTCTCAGTGA